ATATCGGTTGTTGTGATGTGTTTGAGTTTGTCGGCACATTGAGTTTTCAATTTTTTTCTGCTCGCAAGTGTTTTTTTTGTTGTTGTGGTTGGTTTTAAAGGATGTCGTTCAGTTGTTACGAGAGCCATGTGGTTTGCATGCTGGGGTGAGCAAAGCTTAGAGCACGTGGATTGTAGGCCAAGCCCGAAGCGAGTGAGTACGGAAGCCTCGTGGGTGGTCCGATTTACTGTAAGTAGTTACTTCTATCTCTTTGGACTTGGGGAGTCGGACGCCGATGCTGTTGTGTCTTGCGGCTCGATGCCGGGGCGTCATGACACTGTCCGGGACGGTGGATGCCCATCGCTCGGTAAGGTGCTGTGTGCAGCGAGCGATAGGGCAACCTTACAGAGTGGATGTCTCCTTGCGGCTGCTTCTTCTGCACCTAGGCTTGGAGCTCGGTGGATGCCAGTTGTTGTCGAGCGACTCATTAGGCCTAAGGCTCTGCGCAGCCGCGTGTCACACAACTAGGCAAATCGTGGCGTTGAGGTGTTGCACTCTGCTTCCCTCACTTCTTTTTATCTTGCGATGCACTTGTTAGAAGAGTGACCTTTACTTTATTTTAGCTGGGCGTCTCGGACGCCGCCGGTGTATTAGCTAGCAGTACTGATCATCGTACCATGTGGGCGAGGAGCCCGAAGCTCCCTTCCCTTTGCCCTACTGCATTGTTCTTTGTGTTTCGAATGTTCGCGGTGGGAGGGATGAAACCCGCGGCTGGCTGTCTTCTGCACATTGTCAGCGCCGCTGGCCAGTAATGCAGTCTTGAGGTCAGGCGATAGATATGCCTGCAGTCCGGCGCCCTCGTGAGTGCTGTTTGCAACCGGAAGACGTGTCGGCGCGAGTGACGGTTCGTCGTGCCAACAGCAACGTTGCTGTTGCGGGGACCAGTATTGAGGTGCAGTCGTCGAGCCAGACAGTGCAGCAGTGTCGATCGGCGGCGGTGTCGTCGTGCACGGACATTCTTTAGGGACATGTGTTGTCATCTTTTGTTAGAGCTTGTGTAGCTGATTATGTTGTGTTTATTTTTCGGGGGAGGGGGGATTATGATTTGAATTAAGGTTGGGGGATGGGGGGGTGCTGATACCCCCTGTAAGGTTGTTCGCGCCCCGTAGTGCCTGTGTTTCGTATTGATTGGTAGGTGGCATTGTGCTTGTGAGCGGTTACTGCCACCATCATCATCATCATCATGGTTTGAAAACGTTAGCACCAGTGGCGACGCCTGGCGGAAAGCCTTGGTGGCGGTGCACAAGAAATAAGCTGGTCTTTTTTGGCGTGGGGCGGTAGCGTGAACTGTTGCCTCCAGCGTTGGGTCTGCCGTCGACGGCATCGCGGGCCGTCTGTGGTGGGCCCACGTGGTGAGTCAGGCGTTAGCGACACCGCCTTGTTTGTCATGTTGTTGAGTGTTGTTTAATATTGTGTAAGGCATCAATCGTGTTTATCATGATTGATGTTATAATAATTTGGCTGACGATACCGTCGATCAAAAGCAGTTAAATGTATGTGTTGTTGGGTTTGTTCTGATCATGTCTACTGTGTCCGTTTACTCCAAGAGCGTGGCACTCACTCTCCATTTTGAGACCCCACAACTTTTCCCCCTTTAATGATTCGCAGGACTGTAGTATTTGCAAAAAATCAAGCACAACATGTTACAGATAAAGTGTATATGTTGTACCTTTCCAGTCTGAAGCTGCTTTGCATTTGCTGAATTGCTGAATTTTTGCATACTTATACAGAAGCATGCACTTACAATGCATTGGTTATTGCAATTTCAAAACAAGTCCATTTTGACAGTATGCTGGCATATTGGTTGGGCTGGGATGGGCGAGGTAAGTAACATCTCAGGACCGGGGCTGTGCATGGGAGGATAAACTCTCACAAATTCCTGGCCTGAGCCCAGCACATTGTTGGAAAAAGCTTCCGATCTTATTGCAGGTATTCTATACTTTGTGATGTAGGCAGCTTATTAGCCCTGCATATTAGGCTAGATTTACATGTTTGGACGAAATTCCGGCATGTGTAGACAAAATGCAGGAAAAGACTGTAATTACATTTTTTTTTTCCAGGATAGCGTTAAAGAGCTCGTTTCGCAGTAATACCGGCATTGGTGTCAGTGCAGGCATTTTTGCTTGTCAGCGATAAATCAATGTCTTGTGCATGATTCAAAAATTTGTACAAATGCAAACAAAATAAATGTAAAAAAAACTTCCGGGCCTGAGTGAGGATCGAACCCAGGCTGTTGGCATGGCAAGCAGGTGTTCTATTATACAGCCATTTGTCTGCTTGAAGATACAGTTAATATAACTTCCTCTCTTTGGAAATCCAGGGAAAATAACTTTTATTCTATGCAAAATACAGGCGTCCTGTATATAGGTTTCACAATACGTGTTATATTGCAGTAATATTGCATGGTACAAGTGCACATTGCTATCCGGTGTAAGAACATGCGATTATTATAATGAATTCATGCTTTAAAGCCACACGCATGTTAATGTGGGTATATTCCCTTAAAGGAGCCCTGGCATTATATTTACTCATGTCAAGATTTTTGTGTCGAGTAGCTATGGACCCCCTAGAAGCAATTCGCGACTTATAACGGAACTGAGGGATGAATAACTATAACTTTTATTGATTTATATCACTGGTATCTAGCACGATTCAAAACAGCCGGCATTCCCACCATTTTTAACGCTGGGAACGCTACCTTGCGGTCAGCTCCAGACCGCGCCACAGCTGACTACTTCTCCACAGAAAAGAGTGACGTAAGGCTAAGCTGCTCCACAAACATATCGTCTGCTAGGCGCACACATTCACTCATGCCTTGTCACCTGCAGTGCTGTCGTCGCCATACAAAATATTAACTAGGGTCGAATACTACAGTCTGGAGCTTGGAATCGCCACGATTTACAACGGCGCGAATCATTTTTGCATCGATTGACGTTTTGCAGAATAGCAATTCCAAAATGAATGCTGTTCCAAGCAGCAATAAGGAGGTGCCCGAGGATGCATGCTTCCGTGTGTCTAAATTAGTTATATTGGTGTGTGTGGCGTGCACAGCATTCAGGTGTAAGCAAAGGGGTCAGTGAAAAAAAGATACAAGGGAAGCGCAGCAGTGGAGAAATAAAATACGTTCCCTGCTGCCAGGTTCTTTGCACTTCTAGATGGCTCCGCCTATCCGGCCTCTCACGGTGGCGACGGCAGTAGCTCGGTATTACGCGCATGCAAAGAAGTCTACGGCTGAACTAAAAAATTCACTGTTAACGATACCTACATGTTGCTTGTTCGTGATTGTATCTTTATATATGCTACTCCACTTCGATAGCTTGTGGTCATGTTGGCGTGTAAGATATGGGTAATGAAAAGACACCCTCATTGTGCTTTTTCTGCACCTTGAACCAGATGGCTGCAACTCACAACGGTTGCCTGACGCCCTGACTGACGAGCACACGTTGAATGATGCTCTTTTTTTTTCACCGATATTTTATGGGTGGTTTGCATTTTGGTAATTTTATGAAATCATGCAAAGCGGTGTGACGAAGATCAGGCATGACGAGTGAGTCCATTTTCAGGCTTCGGTGCCTGTCGGCACCAAGATAAGAACACTCGGACCCTAGATGTCATCGCTACTAGTGCATCATCACTCAGGGTGGTATGCGTGGAATGTATCACATCGAACACGTAGTACTAGTATTGACGTCCCAGGGGCACTTCATTTTTCATCGAGCTCTCATACACTGTTTGCCATCGAAATAAAATAACTTCCACATGGCAAACGCAATTCAAATTTGACCAAGAGGACCTACGCACACCGAGCAATCAAATGAAGGACACATCTCGATTTTTAAATTTGATGTCAATGCTCTTTTAAAACCACGTTGTGGGTGCATAGCAAGTTTGAAAACATTTCACCGCATACCTGCTCATGGTCTAAAAGTATGCTGCCCATTACATAGAATGCAACCATATGTGGAAGCTTAACTTATGCAAGTCACTTTTAACTTTATCATTACATTGTAGTAATCTACATTTTAAACTTTTCGAGTGACATCATTCAATAAAAAGTAGGCACTAGGTGGTTGAAGTACACACTAAGAACAGGATTTGGTTATCACGTTCAACTCTTAAAGGCAAAGCTTAAGGGACCTCAAATGTTTTTGTTGTTTTGCATTCACTCATTGAAAGTGCCCTGTTCTTTTTAGTTTACCAGTGCACATCCGTAGTCTTGAATTAGCAAAATCTCTCGCATTGCTGAATGCTGCTTCATTGTGCCATGAAATTTATCTGGCTATGCACATGAACATGTGGAAAGCTCTATAACATGCAAGAAACTGCAAGCTGATGACATACCACTCGGTCCTTGGGCAGAAGGGACCAAATTTCCTGTCATCGTTAAGTAAGGAGGCCTTCTGTGAATGGCTGGTTAGAAACATGGAGATCTTCTAGGACTTGTTGCTACCTTGCAACTTTTTTGCCCTTGTATTTTTCGGGTTTGCCACTCGTTGGCCTCATCTCGTACATGACGAGTAAGAAAAGCACAGCGTTCAGATAACTCGCAAGAAGCATCACATTTTTATCAAATTTTGTTGTACTAACCAGCGAGGAAGTCAATCCTGCTGTCAAACATGTTAACTAGATTTTAAGAAACTGCTTGCACTCATTCATGCTCAGACTTGCGGAGTTATCGCCTTGCCCAGGTTACTTGTGACCATCCATAAAATGTGTAAAAATGGACATTCTATTGAGCTATGGCATGCGAAATGTTCCCCATTTTTTATTTTTGTTGGAGGTTTTCAGTTTTATGTTTTCTGAAAAATACACTGTGAAGTATGCACACCAGTATAAGTATAGCATCACTATGGGGAACTTTCTTTCCATCTTGTTTTCTAGTAAGGTATGTCATGTGGATGTTATTCTTGTGAGCTTTCTTTCTGCCGAGATTTCTCATTGTGTCTTTGTTCTGCATTCAGGATCAGGAAATGGAGCGCATTTCTTATACGCTTGGTGGTGCTACCGAAAACGTGAAGGATGGCAATGAGCTACTACGTCAGGTATGTCTTGCTGGTTGTGTGCTCACTTTTGATGTCAGCTGATATGGTTCAATTTGTTTTGTTTCAGACAATGAAAAATAATGCTGGCGTTAGGATATCAGTCCTGTTTTTCCTCTTGGTGATGTCATTTTCACTTCTTTTTCTTGACTGGTACAATCCATAATGTTATTTTCAGTCATTTCTTTCTGTGAATAAAATATTTGATACATAAGGAGGTTTTCATTACCTATATTAAATTATTTAGTTTTTTGCACTATGCATTTATGTCTGTAAAAAAAAGGTGAGAAAATAATTTGTTCTTGTGCAGCTAGATTTTTACTGGCACATTTGAGGTTCGCCCTACTTGATTGTACTTTTTGAAGCAGTTGAGCTAGTGTTGTGATTTTTCACTGCACATATCGTGCAAGCTAGAATCCCATCATCTCCACGGCGCCATTCTTTTAATTAAAGTGCAGGCAAGTATTAGGCCTGTAATAGTCAGTGTTATGTATTGATGAAGTGGAAGACTATTTCTCAAGTGGCATAGGTGACGCTGCAGGATACATGACTGCACTGTGAAATAACACTAGAGCATCTAACCTCTTTTCTGCTATGCTGTTATGCTATATTGTAACCAATAATGAGCAAAACTTTTTGTGTGTAAATATATCGTTAAAACATAGCAGACAATGTCTCAAGTTTTTACGTGGGGAAAATCTTCACCAATATTAGCATATAAAGCATTAGACAAACTGGAAAGGGGAAGCATAACGGCAGGTAACTACTGTGCGATACGTATAAAAAATTAACAGAACTTGGTTCTTACACACGGATTTTGGTAAGCCTACGTCAGGGATTTTTCCCAATGCATACCATGTAGTGCTTGCACTACTGTTTTGGTATGTCAGAGTTTGAGGCACCACAGGGATCGATTTTATTAAAAGGCAACAAGCTAAATGTATCTGTAACATCAGTGTCTTCTGTGCTCAATGTGTATTCCACTGTAATAAGTTTTTTTCTTTTCTTTTTTTTTGTAAAGGAGTCAACTCGTCTCACGCAGCCAGTGGTGTTCTTTTAAAGACTTCAGTTGCAATATGTTTCTATTTCCTGACATAGATGAACTAGTGCTGATTGTGAAACAGTGCGTCTAGACAGGACAGAAAGTTATAAGAAACACACTTACACAGGGCTGTGACGAGACATAAAAAAAAAGGAAAGAAAAAATTGGCAAATTTCACACACAGTGGGAATCGTTAATATGTGAAGCACGAATGTTGAAGCTTGATATGACACTTTAAAATCAGCACAATGTTATGAGACGGACGCAAATTATGCCGTACACGACTTCCATGTTATGATTACTATTTTTGGACGTGTCATTTACTTTCATCGTCTATTCACGTCACGTGATACCAAATTTAGTATATGTGAAGCTAGCGAAACGGCCGTGAGCGCATCATGAGCGTGGCATGTAGTCATGTTCTTACATGACACGCATCTCATGACTGTCATGTTTGCACCAGTCATATACCTTCAGCATTCATTCACGTCCCGTAATGCCAAATTTGGTATGTGAGAAGCTAGTGAAACAGCCGCAAGAGCATCATGAGTGTGGCATGTAGTCATGTTCTTGCATGACACGCTTCTCATGATTATCATGTTTGCACCAGTCATATAGCTTCGTCATCCATTCACGTCCTATAATACCAAATTTGGTATCGATGACACTAGCAAAACAGCCACGAGCTTATCATGATCGCAGCATGTAGTCATGTTCTTTCATGACGTGCATCTCATGATTATCATGTTTCCACCGGTCATATAGCTTCGTCATCTATTCACGTCCCATAATACTACCAAATTTGGTATATGTGACACTGGCAAAAGAGCCGCGACCCTATCATGAGCGCGGAATGCAGTCATGTTCTTACATGACACTTATCTCATGATTATCATGTTTGTGCCAGTCATATAGCTTTGTCATCCATTCACGTCACATAATACGGTATAAGTGACGCTAGCAAAACGGCCGCGAGCGCATCATGAACGTGGCATGTACCCATGTTGTTACAGGACATGCATCTTATGATTATCATGTTTGCACCGGTCATATAGCTTCATCATTTATTCACGTCACGTAATACCAAATTTGGTGTACCGTAATTACTCACATAATTAGCACACCCCTAATATTTTGCCAGATTTGCTAGAAATAAATATTTACCTGCATATTTTGCGCTCCCCAACCTGCCCGAGCCAGCTCACCGTTGCGGGCACAAAGTGACTTTGGACATTTTGATGCTTTGGACGGGCAGCGCCTCGCCAAGCAGACAAGTGCAGTCAAACGGACTGCACGGGCAAAGTCTCTTCTTCCTAGATCTTCCTCCGAACCTAGAAAACCGTACCCAAACGGGTTGCCGGAACTGCTTGAGCATTTGCCTCTCCTTATCTCTGTTACCATGAGAATGCACACTCACATCACAGCACGGACAACTTTTAGAATCTGAGGCGTGCGAGGGCCTGTCACGCAAATTGTTCCCCTCGTTCTCTGCGTCTGCATTGCAATGCACGCTTGGACGATTTGAGAAGTTTTTCGCCATCCCGCTGACGCGTTTTTACGGTTTCCTTGCGATGTCGAAGGAAGCAGGAACCAGGCCGCCGCCAAGCACTTCAAGGTGAAGTGATTCAACGTATGACGATCCGCGCGATTGGTACGCGAAAAAGCATATGTGCGTGCTTGTTAATGCAAGTTTTCTATCGTTGAAGAAGGCCTTTTTAATTATGTGCCGATGCTTATGTCTTCCGGTTTGCCATGTCGGTGGACCTAGTTTCTACCAGCTTTGTCAAAAAGAGACTAAAAAAAAGGGGGCATTCGAACGTGCTCAACGGAACCAAGGACAAAGCGCTTTGGGAGGGCGGTGACAGGGGCTGCGACGATTCCCAATTGGACAATAGTTATAGCGCGAGAACAAAACGACGACACAGAGACAACAAGAACACGAAAGACACGAGCGCTAACTTCCAAAGAAGTTAGCGCTCGTGTCCTTCTTGTCTCTGTGTCGTCGTTTTGTTTTCGCGCTATAACTATCGTTATGCCATACCAACTAGCCCAAGCTGCCACACTCCCAATCGGACTTTGGGATCAGTTATTCCCATAAGACCGCGCGTGACCGGATCTCACTGGGTAAAGTACGTGCTAATTCTTTTAAATTAATGAGCATGCTTCGTTAGTGCTCCAATTTACTTTTTTTAATGTATATACTGTGCACGTTAATACTGTGATAATATTTCGTAAAGCGCTCGTGAAATCCCGGCGTAATTTGCGCACCCCCTTTTCAGGGCCCTAAAATTGCAAAAAAAAAGTGTGCAAATTATGCGAGTAAATACGGTATGTCACGCTAGCGAAACGGCCCCAAGCGTATGATGAGCGTGGCATGTAGCCATGTTCTTACATGACACACATCTCATGATTATCATGTTTGCACCAGTCATATACCTTCGTCATTCATTCATGTCACGTAATGCCAAATTTGGTATATGTGATGCTAGTGAAACGGCTGCGAGTGCATCATGAGCGTGGCATGTAGTCATGTTCTTACATGACATGCATCTCATTATTATCATGTTTGCACCATTCGTATGCCTTCGTTATCTAATCATGTCCCGTAATACCAAATTTTGTATATGTGACCCTAGCGAAACGACCGCGAGCGCACCATGAGCGTGGCATGTAGTCATGGTCTTACGTGACACGTATCTCGTGATTCTCATGTTTGTACCGGTCATATAGCTTTGTCATTTATTCACATTTTGTAATACTACATTTGGTATTTGTGAAGGTGGCGAAACGAACGCGAGGCATGAGCATGCCTTGAGCATGGCGTGTAGTCAAGACTTACATTACATGCATGTCATGATTTTCATGTTAGGGTTTGTGACTTATATTCGCCATACAGTCATGTCGTACTATACCAGTTTTGCAATGTGTCTTGTGAACGAAACCACCGCAAGAGCAGTAAGACCTTGAAATTTAAATCATGACATTCATGACATACATCCCACGATTTTCATGTTATGACTAGTCACTAATGCCCGCAATATAGTCATGTTACGCCATATCAATTTTGGTATCGGTAGCATTATTTAAATGGCCAGGAGAGCTAAAAGTCATAGTTGGCTAGACAAACAGACAGGCAGACAGGCTCAAAGTTGCCGAGTTTCGCTAAAAAATGCTTCACATTTAAAAAAAAGTCTCAGCATGTCCACGGAGTGAATGATGAAGAGTGGGGCGAAGCGTCCGTCTGTACATGCATCTATGCATTCGATCGCGTTTGTGAATGCAGAGGGCGCTTGGGTAACACTGATGAGACGCAAGCACGGAAGCCAAGCGCGAGCATCTTTAATAGGCTCGCCGCTCTGCTTTGTCCAAACCCCACCAACGATCCTTGACGTACAGCAACTATCCAGGAGACTGAGAGAGGCACTCGTTCTCCGCACACTCAGGCAAAGCACGCGCAGCAGCCAATCAGAGAGTAGCGGCACTTTGGAGAGTAGTGGCTGAGTAATGTCATCTAGGAAATGAGACAAAAAGTAGTCATCCATTTCTTTTGCCTTCTTTTCTTTCTCGTCTCTTCTTCTCTTGGTTACGCGTGACAAGTGACAAGGTTACACTAAAAAGAGCGTCGCCCCTAAAATATATTTGACGTAACAGCACCAGCAAAGTGAAGTGTCTCTACTATCAGGTTCTTCACCCTTACACCTGCACTCAGCTCTCGAGAAAGATGTCTTTTTGTGAAGAGGCCGCAGATGGAAAGTCGACGCACTCTTTTTTTTGTGTGAATTTCGAAGGCTTCCCAGAGCTTTCGTCTCCCCCTGTCTGCATACCAGCTAATCACTTTGCATTCTTCGAATAAAGATCGGCATGTGCAGTCAGCAATGTGCTTGGCGAAGGGGCTCTTCGTAGAACTTCTGATGGCGCACACGTGTTCATGGAGGCGATCATTGAGGCAACGCCACATTTGTCCTACGTACATGTGTTCATAGGACGACGGGTCTCATACACCACCACACCATTACTCGCACAAATGGCTTCGCGAGCTTCTTGGTGTTGCGTTTGGCCTTTGTAGGCACCGGAGATCCGGAATGAAGATGTCAAGGCAGCAGAAAGGTGAACTTTACAGAGGGTTTATTTACATAATGTACAAGGCGGGCTCTCTCTGGCCCAAAGCTCTA